ATAATAATAATAATAATAATAATAATAATAATAATAATAATAATAATAATTGCAAAAAAGTTTTCAGGCTCAAGTTATACTTGTCATATATTCATCATCTTAAAATGGCAAGAAAAGATGCCACTGATTTCGACACTATTAGTCAGTCAGTTCTCCAGTGGTTAGTGTTCAAGGCCGCTTGCGGCCGTCTTAAGTTTACACTCCACTCTATACGTAACATGGTTTTGTAATTTAAAATATAGCTAACCATGCTGTAAAGATAGCAGTATGACTGATTTGTAAATAATGGCCAATGCAACTCTTGAGTCAAGTTTGATTTTATTTTTGTAGCCAAGTATACTCATTCTACAATAATAAAAATGAATAGTGAGAACATATGTTGTGATGTAGTACCCTTTAAGTATAAGCAATGTTTAGTCTTATGTTTATAAAATATTTAGGGCATGCTGCTCAGAACATTCATCATTCTTCTGGCTTAATGCAAAACCTTATCCATTTATATCATCTTCTGATATCCCTAAAAGCTTGTCATCTCTGCAGATAGCATGAAAGTTCTGTGCACTGAATGCAAGTTATTGTAACTTATGGAAAGATGAAAAACTTGTGAAGGGTCTCTGTTCCATATATTAATATACCATACTTTTATTACATCATTTTAGGAGATGATCATAGCTGGATTACAGCCAGAGACAACCTATTCCCTTACTGTGACAGCCTATACAACTAAAGGAGATGGAGCACGGAGCAAACCTAGATTAGTATCTACTACTGGTGCAGGTACTATTTGATGATCCTTTCCATTATAAAGCCAAAACGAATGTTGACTACTTTGATCATTTCTGATACCAGGTTCTAAAATGTTCTTAACTGATTTGGTCATGATTGATTTTCATTGTGATTTTTTCCGAGCCTGAGTTTTTCTAGAGTTTAGATGCATTCAGGGCTTTGACTATACCCAGGCAAAAATCTGATACATCAAGCATAGTACAAATTGTTTTGAAAGCCATTCCCGCACAGTATAGACAAATTAAAATATGGGATATTACAATTTGTTGAACAAGCTATATTTGCCTACTTCACACGTTACACTAAAAAAAAATGATCCAACAAATTACAGTGAATGAAATTATATCCGAGAGATTGAAAATGAAATATAGAGTCTGGAAAAAGTGTTGGGAACCAAAAATAAAGACCAGAAGAGGTAGAGATATAAAGAAACTCTTATGTGATCTCCAAATTGTCATTATTAATTATTAAACTCAGGAACATATAGGAGAATTATTTTACTTCACCCAGTCCATAAAAAAAATTGGTATAAATTTTTCCTTTCCATAAAATAGAAAGGAAAAGATCTCTGTAAAGTGAAGGGAAATTCCCAAAGAGATTAAGAACTACAGATAGGGCTGAAAATAAAGAGGGCAGCAGGCAAATGGAGAATTTGACTCATGAACATTTGGATCTAAGACAGCATGTATTAATTAAGCCTAATTAATGTTTGGATACTGTTCGTTCTTTCAAACAATGTAACTATTGGTTTTAGGTTTACAATGCTGTTTTTTTTTTAAACTTTTATACAGACTACCCTTTCATTCTCAATCTGCTGCCTATTCATTCATTATTTACCTTTCTTCTGGGTTTTGTCTGCACATAGATCTCATGGCCAATTCATTATCAAAGGACGTCTAATGAGAAATTTTTTAGTTTTATGTTAATTTTGTATATCAGAAAAGAATAATTGTTCTTCTATGAAAAGCATTTCTACATTTCTCCAAATAATATATAAAGTAGTGCTTTCATTTGACTTCCTTTTTAGTGTTCCAAGAATAAATTGCTTAGCAAGATTTCAACTTTGCTTTAATTCATCTGATTGCTGTAGTTTGAAGGTTTTGTGTTTGAAACTTCCATACGTCAAATAGCTATAGTTTGAAGTTTTTATGTCTGAAATTAAACATAAAAATTAAGCTAAAATGCTTGTATATGTGTGTATGTCTGTTAGCGTTTTGTGCAATATCCTGATTTTAGTTCCTGATTTTTATTTTTATTTAATGGTGGAATTTTTATGCTTTTATGTTGACTTTGTGTCACTTGATTCAGGAGAGTATGCTTTTAATTCAGTATCAGAATATTATTTAGTGAAATTATACATTTTATTAGGCCAATTGTTTCTTTTTTTCTTACCACTCGGCCTCTATTTTGAATGAAATTCTGCTTTTAAACTACCCTTTTCTGTAATTGTCATCTATTCCTGCTTTCAGTTTGATTTACTTGACTAGGGTTATGCAGACAGAAATTCTTTTCAAACACATATTTTTAAGATGATGAGCACTGATTGATATACCTTTTATATGCAGATTTTTTTTCTTCCCAATATATAAATGCATCCTCTGTAATACAGGTAGTCCTCGACTTTCGACCACAATTGACCCCAACATTTCTCTTGTTAAGTGAAATATTTGTTAAGTGAGATTTGCCCCATTTTACGACCTTTCTTGCCACAGATGTTAAGTAAATTAGTGTAGTTGATAAGTTGGTAACCCGGTCATTAAGTGATTCTGGCTTCCCCATTGACTTTCCTTGTTACAAGGTCACAAACGATGATCATGTGACTCAGGACACAGCAGCAGTGATAAATAGGAACCACTTGCCAAGCACCTGAATTGTAACTGAACATGATCGTGGGGATGCTACAAAGGTCATAACTGAAGAACATTCATAAGTCATATTTTTAAGTGCTGTTGTAACTTTAAACAGTCACTAAATGAACTGTTGTAAGTCAAGGACTACCTGTATATTTTGTTTGCTTGCATTGATCAGGTTAAAGTAAAGTCCATAAGCCTAATATACAAAGGTGCACAATTACTGTATGTATTGCTTGGTTTCATGTCAATGGGGATCATTGCCTGCCTACTTTCTCTATATTTAGGAAGTAGAAGAATGGGAATAAAGAAAGGTAATATAGTTTTCAATGTGTTACAAGGTCTGAGTTAATATTTGAGAATCAGGGTAGAGTAGAGAAACGGTATGTCTGTTGCATAAGTAATTTTTAAAGAGACCTAATAAGCAATTTTAGAAAAAAATTATTATAGGTACATTCTGTGCTGAAATAATGTTATCTTACAGTTCCAGGAAAACCTCGGCTTGTAATTAGCCACACACAAATGGGTACGGCTCTAATTCAGTGGCACCCACCTGTCGATACATATGGCCCTCTGCAAGGGTACCGCCTGAGGTTTGGCCGCAAAGACATGGATGCATTTACGACACGGGATTTTACGGATAAAGATGACCACTACACGGCTACTGATATTCATAAAGGGACGTCTTACATATTCAGGCTTTCAGCTAGAAATAAAGTGGGCTTTGGGGAAGAAATGGTAAAAGAAATTTTGATTCCAGAAGATCTACCAAGTGGATTTCCTCAAAATCTACATTCAGAAAGTGCCACCTCGACCTCTATCCAACTAATCTGGCAACCACCCATTTTATCTGAGAGAAATGGTATAATCTCCAAATACACTCTACAGTACAGAGATATCAATGTGGCCCATCAACAAACAGAGATCCCTGTTGCTTCGGTTGATACTATTACGACACTTTCAGGCTTAAAACCAGATACCACATACGATGTAAAAATACGTGCACATACAAGCAAAGGGCCTGGTCCATATAGTCCCAGTATCCAGTTTAGAACATTACCTGTGGATCAAGGTAGGATTTGTATGCTTATGGCTTGCCTTGTAAAGGATCTCAGTCTTTGGATATCGATATTTTAAATATAGCTTCAATTTTCAAAACCATCATATAAGTAGATTCATCTGATGCGGAGGTAAAGTATGTAAATCTTCATGTGTTTTGGATTCACTAGAATTCAGTTATCCCATATCAAACAAGTCTGGCTCACTTCTACATAATAATTGCAGGTAAGGAAAATATAATTATTTTGGGATGTCATTTGTAAGAATGGAATGTGGTTTCTAAAAACAGGTAGGAATATAATGAAATATGTTGACTGTTGAAAAGGGGATGGGATCCAAAATCAAAATGTACTTTAAATATATTACTCTTCCTTTTCCAGCAGTGTTTGCAAAAAATTTTCATGTCAAAGCAGTCATGAAAACATCAGTCCTTCTTTCTTGGGATATACCAGAGAATTACAACTCTGCCCTGCCTTTCAAAGTAAGTGGTTGTTAATCGAAAAGACTTGAAGGATTACAGGACTTGTAGTGGACAAATGTCTTTATTAAATGATTTACAGACCCATTCTACTAACCAACAGATATTTAGTAGTGTTAAATCCTTTCCAGTATTAATGTTGAAGAACTGCTGCCATGGTCTTCTGATGTAGTTCAAAATCAGAAGACCATGGCAGCACTTCTTCAAGGTTGACATTTGATTGATCCTGATTGACAGTTGTTAATTAATTCTGCATTTATGTATCAGCATTCGTGATGTTGAACTAAACACCAGAAATAAAAAGTATAACAGTTTCTGCTGTTTAGAGTATTATCACAAAAAAAAAAAAACCTGATTGTTTCATTTTGTTAGTGTAATAAAAATTGTGTTAATTTTCCAATATTTCTGATTATTTTGTCTGTTTGTGGTTTTATAGTATATTTCCAAATTAATCACTGTTCTTTAAACCATTTTTGAAAATCTGCTTTTCCTACTTGTCATCCTGTGATGAAAGTCTCCTATAAGCCAACTTGAGTCGCCTTGTGTGAAATATAAATTTTCTAAATAGATAAAAATTAGCATCCGTAATGCTCTTTTCTTGCTCTTTTCTATATTGCATTGTCACACAGTAGTATACAATGAATTACCCTCTGTCCACAGAGACACAATGGTTTTCTCTGTTCAAAAATGGGTTTTTAGTGGGTTACCCAAAGCATTTTCAAAAATCAACCTGGCTGTGGTGGATTTAGAGTCTGCCAGTTCTCCTGGCAAGGCGTCAAATGAGAGCATAAACATAGCATAATGCATTTTTTTCCCCACTGATGCCATTTGAGGTGGGAATCCAGCAGCATATCCAGGAAAACAAAGAATAAGCTGTTACACCAAAAAAGTAAAATTGTAGCTTTCACTCATATTGGTGAAAATTACATCAGTTATTTAATTTAATAATTATTGTAATTCCTACATTAGTATGAAATAGTTGTGAAGAATTAAACTGTCAGATCCCACTGATATACAGTAAGAGAGGAGTGTATGCTCTGAAACTACTGTAACACAAGTTTCTCCTTAATTCTTTCCTTTTTGAATTAACAGATAACAGATAATCAGAGTTGGAAGGGACCTTATAGGTCATCTAGTCCAACCCCCGCACCCAAGTGGGAGACCCTACACCATTTCTGACAAATGGTAGACGAATCTCTTCTTGAAAGTCTCAAGTGATAACGCTCCCACAACTTCCGAGGGCAAGCTGTTCCATTAGTTGATTGTTCTCACTGTCAGAAAGTTTCTCCTTATTTCCAGGTTAAATCTCTCCTTGTTCAGTTTCTATCCATTATTCCTTGTCTGGCCTACAGGCGCTTTTAGAAAATAGCTTGACCCCTTCCTCCCTGTGGCAGCCCCTCAAATATTGGAAGACTGCTATCATGTCTCCCCTGGTCCTTCTCTTCACTAGACTAGCCAAGCCCAGTTCCTGTAACCGTTCTTCATATGTTTTAGTCTCCAGTCCCCTAATCATCCTGGTTGCTCTTCTCTGTACTTTCTCTAGAGTCTCAACAACGTTTTTATAATGTGGTGAACAAAATTGGATGCAGTACTCTAGGTGTGGTCTTACTAAGACTTTATAGAGTGGTATTAGTACCTCACTTGATTTCGATTGTATCCCTCTGTTAATACATCTTAGGATTGCATTAGCTTTTTTGGCTGCTGCTGCACACTGCTAGCTCATATTTAGCTGGTTGTCCACTAAGACTCCAAGATCCCTCTCACAGTTACTGCTATTGAGCCTGGTTTCACCCAGTCTATATGTGTACTTCTGGTTTTTCTTGCCTAAGTGTAGGACTTTCTCTACACTGAATTTCATTTTGTTAGATATGGCCCAGTGTTCTAGTCTGTCAAGATCCATCTGGAACTTGAGCCTATCTTCTTGGGTGTTACCTATTCCTGCCAGCTTAGTATCATCTGCAAATTTGGTAAGTTCCCTTTCTATTCCTTCATCTAAGTCGTTAATGAAGATATTGAAGAGTACTGGGCCTAAGACAGAACCTTGTGGCACCCCACTGCTTACTTCCCTCCATGTAGACTTAGACCCATAAAGGACTACTCACTGACTATGGTTTGTCAGCCAGTTGCAAGTCTATCTAGTGGTGGTGCTATCTATTTCACTTTTTTCTAGCTTACTAAGAAGTAGGTTGTGGTCTACTTTGTCGAATGCCTTGCTGAAATCTAAATATATTATGTCAACAGTATTTCACTGGTCTACTAATTTAGTCACTATGTTGAAGAATGAAATAAGATTGGTTTGGCATGATCTGTTTTTAACAAACCTGTGCTGACTGCTAGTTATTACTTTATTTGTTTCTAGATGTTGGCAGATCTGTTTTTTTATTATCTTTTCCAGTATCTTCCCGGGTATTGATGTTAGGCTGATTGGTCTATAGTTTCCTGGGTCTGTTTTTTTTTTCCTTTTTTGAAGATGGGAACCACATCAGCTCTTTTCCAGTCCTCTGGTAGTTCCCCGGTGCTCCAGGATTTTTGAAAGATATGGTGCAGTGGTTCTGAGATTACCTCTGCCAGCTCCTTTAAAACTCTGGGATGTAATCCATCAGGCCCCGATGATTTGTTTTCATCAAGATCAGACAGGTGTTCTCTTACTATTTTTTTTGCTTATTTTAACTTTTATTTCTGGTCTGTCTTTTACAATTATGTTTTTGGTGAGTTGAGCTATAGTTTCTTTTTGCGTGAAGACCGATGCAAAGAATGAGTTAAGCAGTTCTGCTTTCTCTCTGTTGCCTGTTACCTCCTTGCCATCTTCTCTCTTTAATGGACCAACTGTTTCCTTGATTTTTTTTCTTGTTATTTATATGTTGGAAGAAACTTCTTTATTATCTTTGACTTTTGTTGCAAGTCTTTGTTCGTTCTGAGCCTTTGCTTTCCTGACTTTGTCTTTGCAGATTCTGGCTATCTGCTGATATTCTGTCTTAGTTGTATGTCCTTCTTTCCATTTTTTCTACTTGTCCTTTTTTTCTTTCAATTTGCCAGAGAGATCTTTGTGCAGCCATGCTGGTTTCTTCTTGGATTTCTTGTTTTTCTTTCTCAGTGGTATTGTGCTGGTCTGGGCTTTTATGATCGTACTTTTCAGAGTTTCCCAAGATTATTGAGTTGTTTTCCCCTTTAGAATTTTCATCCATGGAATCTTTCCCAAGTTCTCTCTGAGTTTAATAAAATCAGCTCTTTTAAAATCTAAGACTGTTATTATGTTCTATTGCTTTTGTTTGTGTTATGTTGAATGGTCACTCTCACCCAAGGATCCTGCAGTTTCAACTCCCTCTATCACTTCTTTGTAAGAATTAAGTCCAGTATGGTTGTCCCTCTAGTTCCATCCTTTATGTTTTGAAAAACAAAGTTGTCAGCTAGGTTGGTTAGGAACTTATTTGATTTCTCACATGCTGCAGAATTAGTTTTCCAATTGATATCAGGATAATTGAAGTCCCCTATTACTATTGTTGTGTTTTTCCTGCTATAGTTTGTGTTTCCTGTTTGTTAGTTGGTTAGCAAAAATTGGGTGGCCTATAATATACACCTATGGCTATGTCACTCTTTTTTATTTTATATTGACCCATATGCATTCTAAGAGGTTTTCATCTTTGGTTTCATGCATTTCTGTAGCAATATAGTGGTCCTTTACATACAGTGCAACTCTATCTCCTCTTTTATGGGGTCTTGGTTTTTTTTGAACAGTTGTATCCTTCTACCAGTATGTCCCAATCATGGGTTTCATCTCACCAAGTTTCTGTTATTCCAACTATATCATATCTACCTTCATATATTGGTAGTTTGAGTTCACCCTGTTTGTTCGCCAGACTTTGTGCATTTGTATATAGGCACTTGAGATCTTTATGTCTGACATTGTGTTTACTGTCTACATAACCTGTGTTGTGCCTGCCTGCCCCTACTTTCTTGCCACCTGTATGATTAATGCACATGGTATGGCACTCACTATTAAATGCTTGGTTTTGACAGCAAGGTTGATAATCTTACCTGAACAAACATCTATGTTATGTGCACTGATATCCTTATTAATTTTAGATTGATGGGGACAGAAATGTTCTGTATCCATAATTCTCTGTCCCCGCTGTTCAGTTTAAATGTTTATGCAGAAAATCTGTGAATTTAATGCCAAGTAACTCAGTCTCTTTCTTTGATGGATGCAAACCATCTCTTTTGTATAGTTTTTTCATTGGACCAGCTGCAGACATCATGACTAATAAAACCAAAGCCTTCCCTTTTACACCACTCCTTTAGCCACACATTAAACTCTGCTATACGCTAGCCCTTCCCTTTTTGTTCATTGTATACTGGTAGAACCTCTGAAAAAATAAGCCTACAGCCCATACTACTAAATTCATACCCCAAGCTCTGGAAGTCTTTCTGCACAGAAAGTACATCCTTCTGGGACAGATCTGGCAACCTTTTAATACAACAGATCTATAAAAGAAATCCTGGACTGGCAATGCTGTACCACCTATAGCTTCCTAATGCAGAATTGAAAATGTAATAAAAGATGAAAATGAATTAAAAGATGACATGAAAATTATTAATAATGTCAATAACAATAACACTCCTTTTCAAGATAGCCTAATTCTGCTTGTTGATCAGTATCAATAGCATTTTTTAAGATACAGGGATTAAGCAAATTAACTATCCGGACTGGAGAAAAACCTGCATTGTTTGATATCATGTGCTTTGATAATCAGAACAAAGAGAGCATATTGGCTTGACAGAAAGAAACCTGGCATATAGAAAATCATTATCAGGTCTTATATGAACATTAAAGCTATCAACCATTATTCTAAATGTGTCTCAGGAAGCAAAGAAGACCTAATAAATAGGCTTTGTCCATAAATTCCTGAAGCATGGGCATTGTCTCATAAGAGGAAAGTAATCACTAACAAAATATTACCTCTAAAGTAAATCACTGCTAATGGAGCTTATTGTTCAAATGTGCATTATATGACCAACTTCATATACCAGGTGATTAAAACTAGCACCTCAAGGCCTCCTTTCCTCTTGTCTCAATTTCAGCTAAAACTATCTACTACTTTCTCATTAGTAGAATTTATTTCTTAGATTAGTGTAATGCTATATATTCTATACAAAGTCAAAAAAATGGTTTTTGCAACTTGAATGCCATCCCATCACATTCTATCTGAAGACAGAGCAATTACATTGGATTTCTACTCCTCAACCTGTATGGTAGGCCTTGCTTACTTTCTTGAATTGCAGCCATCACAGCTGCAATTCAAGGAAAGTCAATCAGGAAGTTGGCCGGAAATCTCAAGCCATGGCAATGTGACACCTCACGTACTGACCATATCCCATGGTAGCAACAAGAACGGCCATCTTAAGTCAAAGTTATCACATGACCCAACTGGGTCACTTCCCAATAGAATTTCTGGTCCTAATTACGGTTGTGAACTGATTACTACCTGTACTTGTGTTCATTGAAGCTGCATCATATAGCATGCAATGAAAGGAGTTGGGAACCAAGGACAGTGGAAGGCAGAAAGTGTAACGAATGAGTACATCTGATGTTGCGGTATCCATTAAAGCCCAGTGGGAATATTAAGTCATTCTTGATGTTACCATTCCACCCAAGATTCCATTCATAAGTTGGGTTCTGACATTTGTTCTGGCACACAGTTTTTAACTAATTTCAAAGTCATTTTTTCAAAGGCAAGTTTTATTTCTAAACTGCTTTTCTCCTGCACATCCCTAGAGGTTATTATTAACATTTTGCTGCTTTTATTAAATTCCCATTTGTTAGATTCTTTATGATGATGGGAAAATGGCAGTTGAAGTGGATGGCCGAGCCACACAGAAACTGATCCCCAATCTGAAGCCTGAGACATCCTATTCCTTTGTGCTAACCAATAGAGGGAACAGTGCTGGAGGTCTGCAACACAGGGTAACGGCAAAGACGGCCCCAGATGTACTACGCACCCAACCACTTTTCATTGATAAGACTAATCTAGATGGAATGATAACAGTGAAACTACCAGAAGTTCCAGCAAACAAAACTATAAAGTAAGTTATATCTAACAAATATTGCAAGAGCAATATTTTCTGTAGTTTAAAGCATTTACTTTTTTAGCCATTGCCTTAGGTGCAGGCACTGCAATAGACAGGCAGGCATTTTAAGATTTGATGTGAAAATGAATACAGTTTATTGTTTACTGTGATTATATGATGTCTTTCAAAGATGAACTAGGAACTATATTTTAACTTTTTATTTTTTGAAAAAAAGATATACAACCTTTGTCTTCATTGGGAAGCAGGAACCATAAATGGGAGAGTGGTATTATCAGGAGGCTTCAGGCGCAAAATAAATAAGAGTTAAATGGCAAAACAGGAAACTAAAATATCACAGGACCTTTAAAAAGACGGAAAATCCAGTGGTGGGATTCAATTTTTTTTTATTACAGGTTCTGTGGACGTGGCATGGCTTGGTGGGCATGGCAGGGGAAGGATGGTGTAAAATCTCCAATCCCTCCCCACTCCTGGGTGAAGGTTACTGCAAAATCCCCATTCCCTCCGCACCGCACTAACCTGCTTTCCAGCTCCATTCTCCTGTGCAGGGCAACAAAAGAAGACCCAGCCGATCAGCAGGGACTCGGGAGGCAGAGAATAGATGGGGACGGGGCCAGTCAGAGGTAGTCTTTGCCGGTTCTCCGAACTACTCAAAATTTCTGCTACTGGTTCTCCTGAACTGGTCAGAACCTGCTGAATACCACTGGGAAAATCGTGAAACTGAAAATCACTATGATTGCTATTACAGCACACTTCAACTTTATAGTCAGGTTTGTGCAGGACAAAAAACATTTTTTGCCCATCCCTATGCTAGTACAATGGGATCTTTTCACTGAACTGAATTGAACTGACATCAATTCAGGTTGAAAAATTGTAGTAGATACTTCCATATCAATACATTTTAATGGCCTATTAGCCATAGAAAGATTGGCTTTTTTTGAAGTCAGACCTACTTTCTCATTCAATTTATTGAAGTGATTTTGTAAATGAAATCAATAAACAGATCCAAAACAAGCTTCTGTACCTGTTTTGGGGGAAGGGGCTTAATGGATCTATGTAGTCTTTAAAAGTTCTGGGTTCTTCAATGAAGCAAAAGTGAAAAAAGTTCCAAACAAATGCATAGCTCTAATAACATGTTCTAGAAAGTGCTATTTTAGATGGGTGGCCTGTATACTGAACTGAATTGCTTTGTGGGATAAGGTACAATGATAGACGCTGCTTGATTAAGGTTGAACAGCAAGGCATGAAGCTTACTTTTCTGAACAATAGAGATTAATTGCATTGTACCAAAGTAGTTCCACTCTGGGAATTCTTATTTTCTTGAATATAAACACACTAAAAGTTTAAATGATTCAAATTAGATTTGACACTAGTTCACCCAAATTCCACCAGAAATTTATTCAAATAAAGCAAATTCTAGCATCATATCTAACTTTTATTCCATTGTAGGTTTAAATTCTAGGGCCGTGAGAATTTTTTCTGTATTATTCTCCAAGGGGAGAATATTCCACAGGGCAGGGGCAATGGCAGAGGAACCTCCCTTCCTGGACCCTATCAGTCAGAACTCTGTAACTATAATGGGGTCTGCAAAACACATTCTTCTCTGATCAGGTGGAAAAAAATTAATGTAATGCAGGGGTCCTCAAACTTTGGGCTGCAGCCTATTCTCAACTGGGAACACACACAGCCCTGCAAGCATCACGGGCGCTCCTAGCCCCGTTAAAGTGAGTGTCGCAAGCACTCTTGGCACCACTCGCGCTAGCAGCAGGTGCAAAATTGTTTGCCAAATCTCTCTTCCTATGAAGCATTTTCTGGTATGTTCAAAGTTATTAAATATAATAGTTATTCCTATTTTGTCTTTGTTATTTAACAAACACAATATGAGTAATATTAGTTAATATTGCACACAGATGCATATACACACATGTAAAAGGGGGGAAAAGTAAACCAGGAATAGAATCAAATCCACACTTGAATTTGGGAATTATAAATATATTACTGTAACATGCATACCTATATAAAATACTTTCATGCAGAATAACTGTGATATGGATGAAATAATTTTTTAAGAAATATAATGCTGTTACAGATTGTCACTAATGATAATTCAAAGTTATGGTGGACTTAAAAAGAAACCACTACATTTTGTCCTCAAAATTACAACTGCCACATGTCTCCCATGGTCATGTGATCGCATTTCGGGTGTTTGTCACCTGGTTTGCATTTTGGGCTGGTTGCAGTTTCACATAGAAAGGTGACCACAATTGTGACATTTCTGGGGAAAAAAAAAACATTGGAAGAATAGATTGGCTTAACCACATGAATTATTTAACACTTGTAGTAATTTTTCTTTATGGCTCTCCTAAAAATGGTTGTAAAATTCAATCAAATCTCATAGTGACTCTACTTTTGACCTCAATGTCTTACAAATAAAATTCCAGGCTCTGTTGTGGTCATAATTCAAGGGTTATGTATGACTAAAATAATGAATAGATTGGAATACATATATTTTTAATTCTAAGTTATTTCTTGGTTATTCTTAAAATTAACATTAACTTCATGTGCTATACAGGTGAAACTCCAAAAATTAGAATATCGTGCAAAAGTTCATTTATTTCAGTAATGCAACTTAAAAGGTGAACCTAATATATGAGATAGATTCATTACATGCAAAGCAAGATAGTGCAAGCCGTGATTTGTCATAACTAAGGTGATTATGGCTTACAGCTCATGAAAACCCCAAATCCACAATATCAGAAAATTAGAATATTACATGCAATCACTAAAACAAGGATTGCACATAGAACAATATTGGACCTCTGAAAAGTATAAGCATGCATATGTACTCAGTACTTGGTTTGGGCCCCTTTTGCAGCAATTACTGCCTCAATGCGGCGTGGCATAGAAGATATCAGCCTGTGGCACTGCTGGGGTGTTATGGAAGACCAGGATGCTTCAATAGCGGCCTTCAGCTCTTCTGCATTGTTCGGTCTCATGTCTCTCATCTTTCTCTTGGCAATGCCCCATAGATTCTCTATGGGGTTCAGGTCAGGCGAGTTTGCTGGCCAATCAAGCACAGTAATCCCACAGTCATTGAACCAGGTTTTGATGCTTTTGGCAGTGTGGGCAGGTGCAAAGTACTGCTGGAAAATGAAATCAGCATCCCCATAAAGTTCGTCTGCGGAAGGAAGCATGAAGTGCTCCAAAATCTCCTGGTAGACGGCTGCATTGACCCTGGACTTAATGAAGACGGTGGACCAACACCAGCAGATAACATGGCTCCCCAAATCAACACAGACTGTGGAAAGTTCACAGTGGACTTCAAGCATCTTGCAGTGTGTGCATTCTTCCTCCAGACTCTGGGTTCTTGGTTTCCAAATGAGATGCAAAAGTTGCTCTCATCAGAAAAGAGGACTTTGGACCACTGAGCAACAGACCAGTTCTGTTTTTCTTTAGCCAGGTAAGATGCTTCTGACGTTGTTTGTTGTTCAGGAGTGGCTTGACAAGAGGAATACGACATTTGAAGCCCATGTCCAGGATCCGTCTGTGTGTGGTGGCTCTTGATGCACTGACTCCAGCCTCAGTCCACTCCTTGTCAAAGTCCCCAACACTTTTGAATGGCCTTTTCCTGACAATCCTCTCCAGGCTGCGGTCATCCCTGCTGCTTGTGCACCTTTTCTTCCACATTTTTCCCTCCCACATAACTTTCTATTAATGTGCTTTGATACAGCACTTGGGAACATCCAACTTCGTTTGCAGTTACCTTTCCCTCCTTATGGAGGGTGTCAGTGATGGTTTTTTGCACAACTGTCAGATCAGCAGTCTTTCCCATGATTGTGATTCCTACTGAACCAGACTGAGAGACCAATGGCTTAAAGGCTCAGGAACCCTTTGCAGGTGTTATGGCTTAATTAGCTGATTAGAGTGGGACACTTTGAGCCTAGAATATTGAACCTTTTCACAATATTCTAATTTTCTGAGATTGTGGATTTGGGGTTTTCATGAGCTGTAAGCTATAATCATCTCAATTATGACAAATCACAGCTTGAACTATCTTGCTTTGCATGGAATGGATCTATCTCATATATTTGATTCACCTTTTAAGTTGCATTACTGAAATAAATGAACTTTTGCACGATATTCTAATTGTTCAAGTTTCACCTGTATGTTTACATGTTCAAAATCATCATATCAATACATCTACAGTAGTTTAATATGTCTTCCTTATAAAAATTATCATCAGACATTGCGGTATAAAGCTGTATTTTAGAAAAAGCAAGTTGTCATTTAAGTAATCTTGCAACATGTGGATTTGATAGGTGTGATTTTGTTCACAGTTTGTTCACAGTTTTGGAACCTGGTTTATGATGCTTCTTAAACAGGTCTGTGCAGATTAAACAGGGATGATATTAAAAAGCTGATATTGTAATGCCAATTGGGATTTAAAATGATAGACAATAAAGATTCCCAGGAAAGATACCCATGCAGTCAACAAGTGCTACTGCTTTGTTTGCAGGCTTTTTGTTGATTACAACAGTGTGACGTGTATAGCAGAAAAGAAAGAGAGGAAATGAAATATTGGTCAGTATGTAATATGTTTTTCATGTAATCTTTTGTATCCTGAGTTTCATACAAAGCAATTTTTAATGCTTTATTGAAATTCTAAAGAGGGCTGTAGGAAAGAAAATTCTAAAGTGTTAAAAAGTATGAAAAATTAGTCCACAGCTATTAATAAGATACATATATAGTTTATAAATATAAATGGGAAACATTACAGATTAAAATCACCAGAAATAGAACTTGAAAAGACAGATAGGTAATGCCTGTCTCGAAGACAACTTCCCAAAGTAACTTAGGAGCCATAACATACACCACAATCAGAGCACCATAATTTGAATTTTACAACACATGTAAGAATATATTAATTTGGGGAAACTAATATTAAAAATCAGTGTACGTAATGGAAAATTGTTTTATAAATAAGTATGTTAGAATAA